GGAGATCTGGAACACCATAAACCAACTTTGCAGAATAAGTACTCTACTCATGATCCATAGATTGGTGTAGGTATGTGTAGGTGTACGAAATACCATGCCCTCTCAAAGAAGTTACCAATGAATATAACTTTTCTCTCATGCACAGTAATGCAACTGATCGAAACATAATACAATAAAATGAAAATACAATCTACTACAAACTAATCATCGATCTAATCCTCGTTTCGATAAGTTTCACCATAAAAATATGAAATCACATGTGTATCTTTGTTATGGAAATTCTTTCATAATATGGAAATATAAGTCGTCGTAAAATAAAATAAGAGAAAAACTGAATTTTTTTATTTTAGCGCACATGTTCATCCACACTCCAATCATTGCTCATCAATATATTCAGACAAAACAAATACAATAGACTTCCGATTAATAAAAACAATTGATTAGAAGAAAAATGACTGACATATTCTGCGATTTACTTTCTTCCGATTAAATTTACTTTTCGTCATATTTGTCATTCTTTAAATAGTTTTTTTATTACCAATTCCATTTCCTATTCATACTAAATTTTTGAGTACTCCATAGTTGTCTGAGTACTGATACATGTTGTCTGATTAACCGGCCAATCGTTTATCCTGCCAGAGGTCCGATCCCACAGAGGTCGGTTAAGTGGGTGTTTTTTATACACATACAAAAAAAAAAAAATATAAGAATTTTCATTTTCTCGCACCGTGTACCCTCCAATAAAAACAAACAGATCGGTAATATCGCCTGGTTTCTCCACCGAAGTTATCAAACCGTTCCCTTAACGTGAGCGGAGGAAGTTTCCCCGAAGTTTCGGCCACTTCTTCTTGAAACACCGTGTACATCACTTTTATTACAACCCGCCGTATGGAAGCTCGCAACGGGATCAAGCTACCAGGCGCTACGCTATCGTAACTTTAATGGATACTTCCGGCTCGTAGGAGACACGGTCGAACACCGGCAAATTCGAAAAAACCGTAACCCCGTAAAAAGTTTCGCCGGGGCAGCGCCGATGCGTTTAACGAATGTAATGGCCTCGGTTCGCTTAAACCGCGCTCGGTCTAATCAAGAAAGTGGTCTCCGAGGGTTTCCGCGAGCTTGAAAATCCTCTCCTCGTTCGTTTATTCCATCTCACTCACTCACTCATTCGCTCTCTCTTTCTCTTAGTTGCTGCTACAGCTCCAGTTATCCTGATTGACGACGAATAAAGGAAATTATACCGCCGGCGAACTTTTATTCGTGCACCGGGGCAAAAAGCAACATCGTTAGCCGATCCACGAAATTACGTTCTGTAGACTCTTACAGAGAATCGTGGCCGAGGCGAAAGGTGTAGAGACCGTTCGACCCTGGGAAAAAAAGAACGTCTAGTACCTGTCACGTGAGTTCGGTGAACGGTATCGAATTTTCTGGTCGGCAGAAGAATTCGACTATCGAACTATTGGACGTCGAACGGCGTCCGGCGAGTGCAAGGAGAATTGTTGGGGAACAAGTTCGACGTCGATCGAAAGGAACGCTTGGTTTTTAGACACCTAGAAGGACTCTTTGGGACGTGGGTGTCGACCATTGGCATCGATTTGTAATTGGTGATGATAATGTCAGGTTGTACAACATGTGTCGTTTTCTTGAACTGTGGAGTTTGAACTAGTATAACTCGTATTGGAAAGAAGATTTTTAAGCGAAGTCATGCCAATTTTTCAGAGATCCGTGGATCAGGAGAGTGTGCGTTTCGAAGTGTATTGCACATCTTTAATACAGATCCTTTGAGGATTCCATTGCTGGAGAAGATCGATATCTATTTGTCCTTACTCGTGTAATTCTATTTTTTAAAATGTTAATAATAAATGTCAGGCGAAACAAAAATTGATAGTTTACAGATTTCAGTATTGAACATCAACAAACAAGAATATAAGCCTGATAGAAAAAATACAAGAAAAAAATAAGTGTTGTAAGAAACAGCAGAAGGAGAAGAAGAATATGATATTGATGAGTCAACCGGCAAAACTAGAACAGAACGCTCCACTTTTTTTGCCCTCTTGCACCACCCCTCGCGTCACGTTTCACGCGAGCTCGTTACGTGGGAAAGGAAATCGAAAAACCGTCAGCATCGTTCGTATCGAACGCGTCCCGTTCGCTATCACCGGTCTGCGTCCCAGAATCGTGCAATCAAGCTGGAAATCACGCGGTGGTCCGCTCGAATCGTTATCGGCGACGCGAATCGAGCCTAACGCGATGCACGGCGGACACGTGGATCACACTCGGGAGAGAATGAATCTGCCATAGACGGTCCAGAGGCGTCGTTGCACGTCGACTCGGCCCCGAAAAGTACGTCCATTAAAACAAACGTTAATTCCCTTGGCAGGACGCGTAACTGCTCGTGGCGGGGCCATTACGCGAAGCTACGCGTACACTCCCGTCCATAAACGTCGGGACACTACTAGAGAACGGGAAGAGAATAATCTAAAAAGCATCACGAAATTGTGGAGGATCGCGTAGAAATAACTAGTATCGAAGCTATCGATAGACGACGTTGATATTAAGATGAATAGACTGTGACTTTTTAAGCAGAGTTCAATTTCTTTCAATTGTAATCCAGAAATGGGAATCAAGTAAAAATTTATACCTTCCAAACTCACGAACTAGTAAATCTATAATACGTATTATTATTTAGATTCAATATTATTTACACTAAATATCAGATACTTATGGGCAACAGTGTACTGATGCACCAGCATGCATTTTGATACGGACTGTACCATGCATAAGGCCGCGAGATACATAACGCTGAATCTGGGTTAATGTCGCCCCCGGACAAGGTTGCACCAACGGGAACCGGAAATCCACCGGACGGTCGATTACGTTTTATCGACGACCGAGTCTTTGTTGAGTCTGGAATCGCTTTGTATCTCGCCCGATATGAATAGTCTGCATGATATTCTAGCAGAGAAGAAACATTCCCATTGTGAATGACCTAATACGATTCTACGATGGGCCATAGATCAATTTGTAATGTGCCCGTTTGAAACTGTGATTTCGTAACACCTCTCAAAAATAACATAGAATCACTGGACGAGTTACATGCCAGTTCTGCGGTTAATTCTACACTTGTGCCAATATTTTGACATTCGTTAACGTACTACTTTCAGCTAAAACTCTGGTTACACCGTCAAGTGTATTGGAATTCAAGTATTCCCGAGGAGACACAAAGGCGCAGGAGGTAGACAGAGAGAAAGAGATCCCTTCAGAAGTAGCCAAGGAGTAAGGAAATTATAGGAGAGCTTTAAATATTTATTAAGCCGTGGGCCAGTCTACCGTCGTTCTCGGGCTCGACAAAGAACAAGAGACTGCTAATGAATCCAGTCGGCCGGCAATAATTCTTTGTTCCCGTTCCTCCTCCCGGCGAATCGAATGGAATTTAAGGGAAAGGCAACGCGCGCCACGGTCCTCAAACTTTTCCATTTACGGTATTCATTAAATTTCCACCCGGAAATTTTCCGGATCGATTTACTTTGAAGGCGATCGTCAAACAAATTATTCACTTAACCAATCTGGACCGCCCCGGTAGAAACGAGAATGGACACAATGTAACCAAGAGGGCCAGCTGTCCTTCCGTATCCTCCTACCAGTTCCTTGCCCCTTTTCCTTTTTTTTCGTTTATCCGTGGAAGTTTCATCGGAAGGGGTGGCGCATCGGTTGTACCGACCACTTCAGCGTCGCGATATCGATTGCCTGGAGGGGATGAACACAGTCAGAGGGTGGACGGGGGAGGGGGTGGAAAAAATGCGAATTCGAGCGAGCGAGCCAACGACGTTCGCGCTGGTAGCACAAGGAGATTTCCAATTATCGAGAATAAGTCGGCGAAACGTTCGAAAAGCGAAATCTCGACGGAGGGTTTTTCATTGATTCCGATAACAGCTAGAAAGAAGGGGGGAAAAAAGAACTGAAAGAAGAGACGACGGTGAGACAGATTCGGGGACGGGGGTGGCGCGCGGTTGGAAGTAGTGAACGCGGAGCGTAGAATTTTAATCTTGACGAGGCATTCACAACACCGGGATTAGGAAGGAGAATGCCGGTCTCTGATGTTCCCCCGGCGCAAAAGATATAATATCTCCCGCCGTGGCGTACTTATCTTCGATGAGGGGGTAGCCGTGGTGCAGAGGGTGGATTATTTATTGTTCCGAGCCGGGTCTACGGATACCGATAGTCCTACTCTATCCGTTCCAAGCGTAGGGTAATATGATTACACCCGATTTATCGTTTTGTTTGCTGATGACTGGGAAGTTACCCCCTTGTGGAGGGTGGAGTAATAGGCCGGAAATTAATATTAAGGTGGCCTGAGTGAAAGCGGCAACGAGAAAATTGAAAAGAATGGCCTAGCTCGAGTGGTTCCTTGTTGGGAAGATTACTGATTTTACTTTCTGGAATTTCAGAATTTACTTTTTATCGAGTGCTTCCTAGTGTATGGTAGAGATTAAATTGTAGACACGTATTAGGTCGTAACATATGAAATGTTTGTTCTTTCTCAGTTCATGAGGAACCTATCATTGGAGTGTTCTTCACTTGGAGATTCTTTTTAAACGTTTCGATACTGTCGTAGTGTTTGTATCAATTTGCATAGCAAGTTCTGGAAGTTGCATCGATAAATATATATTTTATAAATGCACCAAAAATTTTCATTAATAAATCATCTCATGGGAAACTTCTGTTTTTCATTAATAAATCACAAGTGAAGTCGAAGTGTTCTTAATTTAAAATAAAGTCGTAAATGATATTCCAAGGATGAGAATTCCGATTCTGTTTCGACAATAGATTTTGCAACGACACGCAAAGTCACGGATAGTGTTTGAAAATTGTTCTATGATTTCGTTCGCTTCAGACGGGATCACGTTGCTTTGCGTTGCAGCGGAACGACGCGCGCGAAATATTTTTCACGTTAGAGAGGTAGGCGGAACATCGAATTCGGCGTCATTGTTGTCACTTACCGCGCTGCCAGATCGGCGTGCTGGCCGGATTGCTGTCCACCTCGCATTTCAGGCTGACGGACATCCCCTCGACGATCGGAATTCCAAAACCAGGTAAACGCGTTATCGCGAACGACGGAGTATCTGAAACAGGTATTAAGCAATTATTGTCAGCGCGAACGGTATCGATGCGCCTGTGTCGATCGCGTCAAGATCACGAATGATAAGAACATTCTGCATTTTACGTGACAGATAAAACGTAAAACACGAACCAAATGTTTTTAATGCATGAAAATTATTTGACTTATTGCACAACTGTAATATATTGCGTGGCAGAACTATAAAACCACTCTAAAATTTTCAATCTTTATGCGTTACGATGGAAATTAAAAAAGAGAACACTTTTTTTTCTAGGGATTATAATCTATTCTTTTTTGGAGAAACATTATTTTTCAACACGATGTCAAACATGGTATACGTGGTTCTTCTTTATTTTAACCACAATACATAAGAATTGAAAATTTGAGGGTGGTTTTATAGTGATATTCGATAGAACAGCATTATTATAAGATAAATGTAAATGATTAAATAGAGATAACAAAGGTAAATAGAGAACGTTGAAATGGTATATTGGCACCCGGCTTTGATTTTGCATTATAATAATATAAATTAATATATTCGTAATACATATTTAACACTAGAACAATCGAAGCCGTCAAAATGATGGACTTTATATTTTACAATTACTGAAATTATGTTCACTTTTAATTTATTATACATTATACATCATATTATATTCTGTTATATGTATTGCAATTTAGTTCCGCATGCATTCAACGCTGGTAGTTTTAGTGTTAATGATCAACGAAATTCATTGTTTAATAATCATATTTAATGAACTAGCAACCACCCCGTTTATACGTTTATGTTTTCCTCTACAGAAGGAATAATACGAAGCAATGTCGATTGTAAAATTTGAAAGCCCTTATCAGAGGAAATATAGAAGAATGAGTGAATCTAGGAATATATTGCTGTATTCTATTATTTCCCTTAAACTGAATATATTTGAATAAGCTACAAGATTTTCAACATCGATGTACATTTGCAGATGAAAATTAAAATGACTAACAGAATCACGCGAGTCAAAATCATCAGATTGATCACATTTAAATTTAATTACGAATCCTATTTTTATTCTTACATCGTGAGAATAAACTTATACATACTTGTTTTGCTTTGCAGATATACAGGGAGCAACACGTATATTTTTCAGATAGATTGATCCTGAAACATTACTCGCGTTTGCTCGCGAAGAATAGCGTCAGAAGTCGTAGGGGTCTGAAAGGTTTCAGTCACTATCCCGGCGCTTTGGAAGAGGTGCACGAATGTTACAGATTGACTGGGTTCGAAGAATGCACGCCGAGTTTCCGGTGACCAGTTTGTTTCATACGAATCTGTACACGTGCAGATTGGATGACAGAGGAAAACAAAGGGTAACTTGAGAGTGCAAACAACGAGTTTCGAGAGAACCGCGAATTCGCCGAGTGAAGAATTTAGTATGTAGTTTGATAGAGAACCACGTATTTCGGTGGTCATGTGCAGGCCTAATTAATTATCATTTCGTATGCGCGTTTGATAACAGAATAAAACGACCACGGAAAGGTACGTACACCCGTTTGAAGCAGGTAGATGGTGTAATAAGACCTTTCCTTTGTGATATTTCGAAACGTACTGGAATCATAATACTGTGAAATGAAAACATTGATAAAGGTTATGGCATTCTTACTTTATTTGTAATTTAATGGAGACTGAGAAAAGAATGGGAAATTAAAGAAATTAAATTAAAAGATTGTAGTGCTGTTAATGATTCGACAAATAGTGATCAGTTAGATATTTACTTTTTTTCACGTTTCAGAAGTCTGTGGATATTGATAGTCGTGTGTTGTAGAGTTCCATGTCATAGTGCGTAAAGCAACACCAGAACGACAGTTTTGTTCCACGCTGTAAGGCCAGGGCTTATTGCCTTAACGCAAATTGCATAATAATGTAGCATCGCGGAATTCTGTGTTAGGTAGCAACGAACATAGGCTTACGGGAGAGGATTTGAAACGTGCTCTCTATAGAAACAAGTTTAGTTCAAACTGAAGTGTCCGAAGCCCTCAAACTGGCTTTACAATAACGTTTACATCTACATTGTTAATACACCGTATCGGGTATTTCGTCAGTCTTTTGAACTCGTGAACACAATACAAAACAGTTCCTTTGTCTCCGTCACTTTACACTCACACGGCGATGTCAACTTTAATCCATTCAACGACAACATTTTCATTATATCACTACCACAATTATGAATTCTATGAAAAAATCTAGTTTAAAGTTTCATAAATTTCTGTTAAAGTGTACACCGTTTAAAATTGATAATGAAATACAATAATCCAGGAAAAAACTATCAAAAGAAACGTTTTCACACACCCACGAACACATTTTTCCTTCATACATCAGACAGCAGAAAGCATGTCTAAATAAGTTAGTAAATTGATAAAACACACTTCACAATCCTGTAAAAACTGAAAAAATAAACCTCACACGAACAGACTCCCCAATAAATATTCCAAAATTAGGAGACATTCCTGTTACATACCTCTGTGGCTCGCACTTCCGTCCTCGAAGCACTACCAAACGCGTGATCATTACCCACATTGTTAACCATTACGCCCCCCTCCGCTCCCGAAATCGTTCACCCAGTTCCAATTACACACTTGCAGAAACAATAACAACCGCCAACGCACTGAACCGTTCGCGATTGCTTGAAAAGAAAATGAAGCAACAGTAAACAGGAACAAGAAGTCAAAAACACTCGAAGGAACACGAAGACACTGTAATAATTGAATCGAGCGTGGCGCGAGGTAAACGAGGTCGGTGACAGCCACGGACATCAAACCTACTAATCGGCCAAACGGAACTACGGCTCTGACCAACCAGAGTCATCCCCCCTCACACCCTTTCGCCGCGGCACCCTCGTGTCCCGTGTACCAACGACATTCCTTCCGCGTCATTAACGACCGACAGAACCCAACCCTCGTATTCCAGATCGTCCGACGTGTACACGTGTACACGTAACACGGATTCCTGCGACGAGAAACGCTCGGAGCCGATGGCGATTCGAACGAACGAGTTTCGACCGCAGTCCCGAGGCCGCCGACGAGTAATTAACGAACGCCGGCAGGGAGGACAGTGAAGATTTTACGATCGTCGGGTACTCGTTAAAAACTACCCCACCCCCCACACCCATCCGACTGATTTCGGTGACGTCGAGCCACGGGGACACAGGGGTTGTGGCGCCTTTCCTGTGCGAAATCAAAGTCTCTGGCGTCGGCGGATCGTTCGGTCATGTATTGCGTCCGTCAATTTATTAACTCTTCGCTGGCGAGAGGGATTTTGTGTTTGAAAATATACAACTTCAGGTGTTCGGAAAATTTTAGAAACTACTACTTAAGTTTTATATGTCAAATTTTATATAGAGGAAAAACGAGTTTTTCCTATTTCTTACTATTCTAGTATCTTTAAGAAAGACGTAGCACTACGTCAACTGCTCTCAGGTTTTGTTTTTGAAAAGACGTACTATTGCGCCATTCGACATCAAAATGTTAATACTGGAAAAATTTAGCTATTTGTGTGAAAAAACATTAATTAGACCTTGTTAAATTTAAAAAATTAATAAATACAGTAAAGGCTCCATAAGAGTTGAATAGGAAGTTCTTCGTGAGAGTTCCTACTTCATCCGCACCACTGTGGGGGGGATGGAACTTGTTAAGCGCATAATTTATTCCCTCCACTGTTTTTTTTTGCCGAGGCTCGGGCTTAAAGCAAGAAACAGATTTGTGGGGTGTTGAAACGACTGGCGGTACAGCCTTTGCTGTTCATATATTAGTATGTATCGATGTATTTTCAATTTCCTATGATCTCCACCGAAGAATTTAGATCGTCGTCGGTGTAATTTGTTGGAGAGAAAGACCGAGATACTGTTGGAATAGAGGACGAGTCGCCGTACGGTGTCGAGGTCGGGAAATAAATTGGTGGTTCGTGGAAGAAGGGGTTGGTCCGAAACGAAGGAAGAGAAATTGAGACGAATCGGGCCAAGAGAGAAAGAGAGAATGAATCCGCGAGAACGGGAGAAAAACAGAGCTAGAGACGTAGAGAGAGAGAGAGTGAGAGAGAGATAGAAAAAAGGAGCGAGAGGCTTTTCCTCGCTTCGACTACCGGATGGCTCCAAGTTATTCACTCGGCTATAATAGTGCGGCGCTGAGACAATGCAAGCTTAATGAAAGCCACCCTCTGTCCTCTTCTCGCCTACTTGTTCCCTTCGTCCTTCCTCCCTCTCCCTTGTGTCCGTGTCCCCTCTGTGCGTTTCCGTGGCTGTTACTCGATGCCAATGCTAACGCCGACGCCGACGCTGCCGCGGCCGCCACCGAAGCGGCTCTAGAGCCCCGGTGCGCTGGCGTAAACACCAAACAAAGCAAACAATGAGACACAGAAGTGTCCCACAGACCTCGATCGCTTAATGAGAACTTTAAAGCGCCTCCGCAAACTACCAGTCTGTCTGTTTCAGACAGGACCGTCGCGCATGGACAGCCACAAAGACAGCCGGGTATTACCGTACACTAACTCGTTGGAAAGTGTCCGGACACTTGCATACTGTTTACGTTGCTTGTAATCTGAATAACAGACGAACAGTCTGCTGTGGACGATCTTTGTCATTCGTTAGTTGTTCAACAGTTGTGTGGGGTTGGAGATCGTGCTGTGAGAAGTTTTTCTATGTAACATTAAATGAAGAATAAAGTGTAGTGTTCTTGGGAATATTCTGTAGACAACAAACTGCCCTGGAGCTTTCGTGCAAATATGCACTTATTGTCAGTTGTGCCAATTAGTTCTCTGAACCTTTTGATGCTGTGGACAGTCGTCTGGACTGTAGTCGTAGTTGTCCGCCTCGGAATGGCAACTTTTTTAACCTTTTAATTCAATAATTGTCTATTTTTAATCGCAGATAAAATTAGGATGGAGAAAACATTTTTCGAATAAACAAATTCAGGGAAGTAGAAGAATTCTCCGTACCGATGGCGTACGGAATACGTCATCCTTGAGGG